CCCCCCCCCCCCCCATAGAATTCTTAACCTTCTGGGGTTAACACACTCACGTGCCAGGTAGCTCTGGGAAGATGTGAGTCCTTTCCCTGGAGCCCTGCCTCCCGAAGCAGCAGTCTGCCTGTTGGGGGGCCTGGGGGCAGCACACAGGGTTCAGTCAGATTTGTTATTACAGAGAGGAGAGGCAGCTTGGGGAGAGAAAGGACTTGCTGTTTAGTATCACAGGGCAGCTGCCCGAGTTTCCTGCCTCCTAGGCCCCAGCTCTTCCCCTCTGCAAGAATCTCCTCTCTCTTACTACCCAGCCCCCAAGGAGCTCCTTGGGTTCAGCTCAGCCACCTCCTTAGGAAGCTGCCTAAGCCAAGAGAAGGCCCAGAAGCCTGGTGTTCCTTGATGGGATTCTGCTGCCCCCTTTTGGCCAAAAGCTCACGCTCTTACCGTGCCTTATCCTGCCAGCTTCCTCTGTCTGCAGGCCACCTCATGCTAGCTGCTAGGGAGCCACTCTCAGGACTGGGACCTTTGGGCTTTCTCTAGGCCAACTCCACAGTTCAGCTCCAGCCTGGACCCATAGCTTCCAGGCCCAGGGCACCCCCAAGCATCCAGACTGGACCTCCTCAACAATACCCACTACCCTCTTCCTCTGCTGTTTTGCAACCCCAGTTTCAGTCTCTGGGTTCTCTTCCACCTGAATTTCCAGGGCCAAAGCACAGTTGGAATGCAGATAGACCAGGGTCAGGAAGGGCCATAGCCAGAGAGTGCTGGAGCAGAGGGTCAGGAATGCACCAGGCCAGGCCATGTAGGAAAGGCATTTTGCTTTTTTATTTTCTGTAAAACTCTGTAAATAAAATATAAAACCAAGGGATGTGGCAGGACACTGATTTGTGGCAAGTGTGCTGAGCCGAGGCTGGGAGGCACTTGACTTCAGGCACTGACTCTACCAACCCAAGGGCAACAGAAGAATATATTAGATTTTCATTGATAGGAATCTGTGGGGGAGAGGTGTCTGGAGCCAGCCCTCACCCTCCCTGCCAGTGCCTGGTGAGCCCTGAAAGTGAGAGGAAGGGGCACCGGAAGCCAGTGGGTAGGAAATTTAGAATGCTGTGCTGGCCATGCTGCCAGGCCCAAAGATGCGGGGCAGGGCGTCCAGTGATTCCTCCAGCCGTCGATGGGCAGACTGTCCCTCTTCCCCTGTAATGGGTAAGGATGGGGTTAGGAGCGATCTTAGCCCCATCTCGGCCCTCCCATCCGTGACTCCACTCACTCCTGCTCCCATCAGCCAAACTGTTGTGGAACTCTACTTGACCTGTATCTCCCATCCCCCAGCCTCACCACACTGTTGCAGGCTCTGTCGAGCGGCTTCCCTCACAGCTTCTGTGTCCGTTTGGCACAGGTACACCAGGGGCTCAATGCCCTCAGGAGCCTACCGGGGGAGGGAACATTGAGGTGGGCCCAGTGGAGCAGGTGGGAAAGGCCCACAGCCCAGGGCTGGGGGAACTGGGAGGGGCATGAAGTGCAGGGGTTGGCAGGCATTACCTTGATGCAGCCCAGGGCCAGGCAACCAGCCACTCTTGTCTGTACATCCTCATCCTCGAGTTGGTCCAGGAAGCACAGTAGGGCCTGGGTAAGGGTGGGAGGGCAGACTTAGCCAGACACTGGGAGCCTGGGACCCCAAGCCTTTTCCTCAAGAAGGGCCTGCCTGACTCTCACCCTTTCCCTAAAGACGGGGCCCAGTGACAGGCTCCGGAGCTGGGTGCTGACAGCAGCCATGACCTTGTTGTTGCCATGGACAAGCAGGGAGCTGAGGGCCCGAAGCCCATCCCTTTGCAGTCTCCCCTCAGGAGCCAACCTCAGGGCCTTCAGCACAACAGCTTGGTCATCTGAATTCAAGTTCCGCACCAGTAACACTGAAAGAAGAAAGGAGAGTTGGGACAAGGTAGCAGGGCAAGGAACCTTGTGGGGTAGGGTCTTGTATACTCATGTTCTCATCCACACCCACAGAGTCAGGCCACTTTGTGATCAGGGCCTCTGGCTCACCCTCCTCGGCGGTCTCAGTCACATAGGCCTCCATAGAGGGGCTGTCCAAGGCTTCGACATAACTCCAGAACTGGAAGATGGTGAACTGCTCTCCAGGGCCTGTCTGGGGCCTCCTGGGCAGCTTCTGCCCCAGGGCATCCTCCAGGAACTTGACACACACTGTGGGAGGCAGTGCTGCAAGCCTCAGGGTTTGGGTGGAGCCAGGCCCTTAGAGGGAAGAGTGCTCCCATCCCAGGTTCAGGTCCAGGGGCCCCCCATCCAAACCCTACCCCTCTGGGTCCTTCCATGCAAAGAAACAAGCCTTCATTATTTCCTCCCACTGCTCAGCTCAGCAGGTCTGTGTAGGCTGACCTGGCTTTTCCTGAGATCCCATCACTAGGGATCCAACAAAGGAGGTAAGAGGGGGCAGGTAGGCAGCCCACTCACCAGCCTCAGCTAGGCCTGGCTGGCGCAGGGAGAGACGGGCACTGTATTGATTGCAGAAGGTGAGGAGCACTCTCTCTATGGGGCAGATGAAGGGGCTGAGTCCCTCTGTGCACTGGTCCCAGAAGGTGAGGAAGCTGGGCCGAGAGGCTGAGAACTGCACCACTACGAGGAGGTGCAGACAACCATCAGCAACAGAGCAGGCAGGTGGGCAGACAGGCGTGCAGATGGGGCTAGGTAAGGGAGGAGCTTCAGGGCAGACAGAGCCCTTACCTTCCTGGGCAGAGGTGGCAGGTACTTCCCATCGTCTGCTAAGCTCACATACGGCCTCTAGCACTCTGGCTTCCCTCAGCAGCCGCTCCAGGGCCCATGCCTCCTGGCAGCGCAGGGGCCCAAATGTGCCCAGTTTCTGGAGAATAGGGATGGCCTCATCTCAGGATGAAGCTTGGGGAGGGTGGAGCCCAGGGACTACAAGTCCCAGCATGCATGGAGAGGATGGGGGAAGCCATGGGAGGTGTTCCACTCAGCAAGAGCCAAATGCTAGAGCCCTGGGGCAGTGGGGAGTGGAAGTCAGAGGAGGCATGGAGGGTCAGTATTGAAGTGCAGGGCTCCCTGGGGTAGGGGGTTACAAAAGGAGGGTGTGGAGAATACCACTAGCCTCACCAGCAGGAGGCGGCTGCAGTGGTACAGGTGCTGGACCAAGGCAGCGTCCAGAGCTGGACACTCCGTGCTGAGGGGGCGGGCACTGGGTAAGTCGAGGCTGTCCTCAGCCCCAGGCTCCAGGCTGTTTGGGGGCCTGAGAGAAAAAGGGGGTCATCCATCCCAGGAGCACACATCACCATGTGGTCAACAGTTTATTTTTATTAAGGTCCCCCCCCCCCCCCCCCCCCCCTGCCCAGAATGGAAGAGCAGACGATACACAGACAACAGACAATGGGTAAGTTCACGGAGGACTTCCAGAAGGAGGAAGAGACTACGACCAGCAGGTGTTAGTGGGGGTCTCCAGGGTTCGTCTGTCTTTTCCCACCTCCAGCTACAACTTCTGGGACCACCAGGGCCGCCGGGGTTGGGATGGCTGGGAGTAGGGTTGCAGGCGGGATGGTCTATGTAATGTGGACTCCAAGGGGTTGTGGCCCAAAAGGTTCAGGGCACAGGGCCCTAACCTGGGCAGCAGCAGAGAGAGGCCAGGCCAGGCATGACCCTTAACCAGGAATTGGCAAAGGCCACTCTGGGACAGAGAGCCAAGGGGCTGGGTTCTCGGGGAAAACCTGGGTTGAGACAGAGGGGGTTGGTGCTGGGGGACCCAGGGTGCATGGAGAGGCACCGAAAGGGCTTGTTCATAGGGTAGGTCCAAGGTGAGTCCAAGGGAAAGAGGAGGAGCTGGAGGATCACAAGCTGATGGGGACCAGCAGGAGAGGCAGGCATTGCCCGGACCAGAAGGAGGGAGGTCAGAAGCACTGGGGATACAGATGGGGTTGGAAACAGGCATCAGGGACACATGAGGACTACATGGGGTGAGGGGTGGGGGTGTCAAACACAGATGCACCTGCTGGCAAGTGTATCCCTTCCTGCCACTTCCAGTCTTGCCACTCTCCTTGTGTGCTCTACCTGGCTCCACCTCACCTGTTCCCCTTTCTGGCCTTTCCCCTTCACTTGGCACTCCCCTCACCTCTTCCCCCTCACCTGTCTCCAGGACTATCGATGTCTTCATCTTCATCCTCATTGAGGAAGCTGAAGCTCTCCAGGGCATGCTCCACAGTGATACTAAGGCTGGAGGCCCGGCTGCGAGTGAGGCCTTGTTTCTGCTGGGGTTGGGAAGGGAGTCAGTGCTACTGCCCACTGCCTTGCTGCCCTCCCTGCTGCAGCCCACCTGGCCCTCCTTACCATGAGCAGACTCTCCAGCCGGGTCACCTCCTGCTCTAGGCCCTGCAGCTCAGGGAACTGGCCACGATAGTCATCCAGGGCAGCCATTAGGGCCCCTAGTGCCTCTTCCAGCCTCCTATCCCCAGCCCCTCCAGCTGCTCCTGGAACTGGGGCCTGAGTGGCCACAGCCAGGCTAAGGTCTAAATGCTGGGCCACAGGGGCTACGGGTGAGAGAGGGGGACTTGGATTCTGAAGGTCCGGTTCTGGGGAATCTGGGGATGGACTTGTGAGGGGTTCGCAACTGGAACAGGCAGGACTTGGGTAGGAGGTGCTGGGGGCTACGGGGTCTGCCTGAGTGCAAGGAGTGGAAAATGGGTAGCTACAAGACTGGGTGTTGGTGCCTGGGAGGGTAGGGTCTGCCTTTGCAGAGGAGCTGGGAAGCACGGCATGGTCTAGAAAAGTGGAAGAGCTTACAGTTATAAGGGTGGGGCTTGTGACAGGATGGGTGGGGCTCCTAGTGGTCTGGACTGGGTCCTTAGCCTTGGGGGTAGGACTTGTAGTGGTGTGAGTTGACATCCTGGCTTTGTGAGCAGGGCTTGTACTTGCATGGGTGGGGCTTGTAGTGGCATGGGTGGGGCTTGCAGTAGTGTGGGTGGGGCTTATAGTGGTTTGGGTGAGGCTTGCAGTGGTATGGGTAGGGCTTGTTGTAGTGTGGATGGGGCTTGTGGTGGTCTGGACTGGGCCTGTAGTATTGGGGGTAGGACCTTCAGTAGTGAGGGTGCAAAGCATTGGCTTGTGGGTGGGACTTGTGGTGGTCTGGACTGGGGCTGTGGCACTGGGAGTAGGGCTTGTAGTGGTGAGGGTAGAGACCATGGGCTTGTGGGTAGAAGCTGTGGTAGTATGAGTGAGGCTTGGAGCACTTTGGGTAAGGCTGATGTCATTATAGGTAGATCCTCTGATGGTGTGGGTAGGGCCTGGCAGTTCAGAAGAGCTAGAGTCTGTGATCTTGTGAACCCAATCTAGGTGTGCAGACAAAGCAGGGTCTGTAGATATGTGGGTGGGGCCTGTTGTACTGAGGGTAAGGCTTGTGGCAGAATGGCAAGGGTCCACAGCAGGAGGGACAGGACCAGGTTGCTCCCCATGGGTGGGATCTAGGTGTGCAGGCAGGCTAGGTCCCTGAGCTAAGCATTCTAGGCCCAGAGCCTCCACAGAAGCCTCAGCCAAGGCAGCATCCACACTGGCCTCACTGATGTGGCTCAGAGTCCGGCTATAGGGGGCATGGCCATTGGCCAGGGCTGGGGCCATGATCCCCTCTTCATCCACAGGTGCAGAGGTGGGGGTCTCAGGCCTACGGAAGGCGACTTGAATGGGCAGAGGTTCAGGTTGCTGCACCAGAGGCCTGGGAGCTGAAGAGTGGCGGGCAATGCCTGAAAGCTGGGGGCTGGATGAGTCGTCTGAAGATTCGGATGACAAGGACCATGCCGTCCCATTCTCCAGCTCCTCCTGCCGCCTCAGCATATTCTGGGAGAGAAGAAAGGGCGCTTCAGGACCACCCCAGGGAGCCCCTGGAGGATGGTGGGGCCTAAGCCTGGCCTGTGACTCACATAAAAGGCCTGTTCCCGAAGTGAGGGCGTGTCTGGTGGGCTCTGGCTATAGGTGGAGAAGCGCTTGGTGACTGTGGAGGCCTTGTTGACAGTGGAAGCAGTTGAGGGCTGGTCATCCTTGTCGAAAGGGCTGGGGAGGTAAGAGGCTTTTAGCAGGTGCCACAGGCCCCTTGGTCCTGTCCCCAAGCCACTCAACAACACCAACCTCCATGTGACTTCCAGGCTGAGCTTGATGGTGCCGAGGTCATTGATGTCCACAGCCACAACTTGGGGCAGGGCAGCAAACAGGTCCTTGGTCTCGCAGGAGACACTGCCTACAACCACATGGTTGGCCAGACCCTTCAGTTCTGTCACCTGTAGCCAAGAATGCATCATAAGGTCATAAGGGTATAGGGATCATGAGGTTGTGGGAGATCAGAGGTCTGAATATGCATAGACGTTATGTGACAGTCACAGGGTCATAGGGCTATGACAAGGTTGCAGGGATTGGAATTCTCTGAGTGATGAGGCCATGGAGGATTGAAGCATCCTGGGAGCATGTGGATTACAGAGGTCTAAGGTCACTGTAGCCATGGGGGTCACAGTCTCATGAGGGTTTAGGGAGTCAAATATTTACAAGATTAAAAGATCATAAGAAAATCACAGAGTTATGAAGGACATGGGGATTACATATTCACAGAGCCATGAAGCCATCTGGGAGTTACAGGGTAAGGGTCTTAGGGTCATGAGGGGTTCACGAGTCAAGGAGTCACAGGATCATTTGACCTGTGGTCCTGGGCAGACGCATCACCTTGATAGACAGGAATTCCGTGAGCAGAGGAAGAAAGACGGTTTCCTCGCTGTCCCACACCTGCTTTCCGCTACCCTCAATCCGGCCCCGTAGTTTCCAGCGTTGACGCCCATATTTCATGCAGATCTAGGTGAACAGGCAAGATGAGGCAGCCCCTGGTGTTGTGACCCTCTCATTCCAGCCCTTCCTTGCCGTTCTCATACCTCATACTGATCCCCCACACACAGCCTGGCGAAGCCAGCCAGCCCTAGGAGTAGAGGAGGAGATGAGCCATGATGAGGGGTCTCAGGCACACAATCCCCTCTCCCTAGCACCAGTCTGTCCCCATCACTTAGTACCTTTCATCCGGAGATGGAACTCGCCCAGCTGTGCTTCCAGCTCACTCTCCAGCAGACACATGCTCTGGGAGGGGTGGGCAGGGACAAGAGCGGATCAAGAACCAGTCCTCTCTCACCAGCTCTGCTATACCCTGTGCCTCTGCCTTCTGGACACCCATCCCTCACCTCTGTGTACTCACGATGCCCTCGAGTAGCTTCGGCCAGGCTGTCCCGGGCCTCTCGGCTCCCTGGAGACCCAGTGCTGTAGGCACGGATCATGTTGTAGGCGCCATCCCGGAGACGCCGCTGGACACAGTATGCTTCATATAGCTCATCAATCTGGGCAAGTGAGTGGGGTGATATTGGGGGAATTGAAACTCACTACTGGGGTTGCTCACCCAGGACCTAGCATCCCCCTATCTCCCACCCGCCTTGTGTGCACACTGCACACATGTGCATGCTGCACATATACCTTGCTGGCATGGAACTCCAACCGTCGCAGGAAGCGTTCAATGGACTTGACTTGCTGAGGGAGAGGTATGTCAGGAGGGGCCAGAGGCCCCAAGCCCTTACCCTCCCCAATGAGCCAAACTCTTCCATCACCATTCCCTACACACTTACCTTGTCCAAGTCATATAGAAAGCCCTGCAGGGGAAGATGAGAGGGGACACTTAGGAGGCATGGGAAGTATTCCAGCAGGGGCACATGTCTACCCAGGCCCATCTAACTCCTCTTTCACAGCCTTCCTCCCCCTCATACCTCAGGCCACAGCCACTCCAGTCAAAGTATGGACTGACCCATCTTCCCTCATGCCTGGCCTGAGATGCATGTTAGTGACATAGGGTCTGGTCCTCAAGACCCCTCCCATACGCATCCCCCCATCTCTTTCCCTGGGATCCCTTCCCCGGGCCCACTCCCTTTCCTGCAACCCCTACGAAGAGGTTCCCTCTACGAGGGAACTCCTATTCTTCAAGACCCAGCAGAAGCGTTTCCTGCTCTGGGAAGCCCTGACCTGTTTCCAGAGAAGAACCATGACTCTCTATCAGAGTTACTACAATATAGTTTCCTGTCATCACGTCTGTGGGGGTCTGACCTGCCCCACTGAAAGCTCCAATGGGCAGATACTGGGTCCCAGACAGAAAGTGTACAAAACCTGGGGAAGGTGGGGCTAGAAACCTGCCCAGCCTTTCCTGATATCCTGTATTCTAGTCACAACTAGGCTAAATCCAGGGCATCCTTGTCAACCCTTTACTTACCAGCCGGGAATTCCTCTTGGACTCCCTAATCTGTCCCTGGAGTTTCTCCTGTTCTTGCTGGTGCACTTCCAAATAGGCCCTGGGGAAAGGAGTGACTACAAGAATTAGCTTACCTTTCCAGCCTCCAGCTGCCCGGGGTACAAGCAAGCAGTGGAAAGAAGATAGGAGACTGGGGAAGGTTCCTACTAGCAGGAAGGGGATGAGGGCTTAGGGAGGAGTCCTGGGATAAGGCATTGGGAGGCGTTCCTTACGTCAGGCCCTGCTTGAGCGCAGTGTACACCAGGTCCAGCCGCTCAGGCTGTGGGACCTTAGGGGCTGGGTGCGCCACGGAAAACATCCTGGACACTCGGGAGAGCGCTGGGGGCTTCCGTGGGGGCCCCGGGGGACTGAAGGCCGGGAAGCTCCTGGAGAAGAGGCCACACTCAGAAAGGTACGAGAAGGATCCCCAATCCCTCACTGCACACCCAGCTCCAGCCCCGTCACACTCGCTTGACCCCATTAGCCCCGCTCTGCTGCGTACCTGGGGCCCCGCTCCTGGCTGCCGAGGACGCCTGCGAAGGACTGGCTCCTATTGACCCGGGCGCTGAGCAGGCGGCGCTGCGGCCGCACCGACAGGGACATCATGGAATGAGTCCGCGCGGGGCTCCCTGGGGGGTGGCGAGGGCGGGTGTCCAGCGCCAGTCAGGCTTTTGAAGCCCCCTCCGGAGGCCCAGCCTCTGTATCTTAGTCCAGCCGGATACCGCCTGACGCCGGGAGTCCGACAACCCTGCCGGCCCCAGCACTAATGACAGGGCGGCCGGGCGACTCGGCCTCGGACTCAGCGTGGCCTGGGCTCGGCCCCCACTTCCTGCAGAGGTGCAGGCTCCGCCTGTCTCGGGGGCAGGAAGGGGGGTCGCGCGGGGACCCCCCTCCCCCGCCCCTGGCTGGGAAGGGGCAGGAAAGGGGCGGGGCGCATGAAGAATGTGCGGAAGCGCTTGTTTACCCGGGGGCGGGGCGGGCTCCCCAGCCCTGCCCCTGACCTCACCCCCTATCCCCGCAACAGTGACCAGGAGCTCCCGCGCTCCAACCCCGCGAAGCTGCGGGAGGTCACCTGGCGAGGTGAACGCTCTGAGCCCAGCGGAGCTGCCCAACAGGCCCGGCAGGCCCAGGGTTGGCTCCCGCGACCCTCCGCCCCGTGTAAACTGCTTCCCTCCAGCCCCCACCGGGGATGCCAGAGCCCAGCAGCGTGGGGATTCCCAGAGTCAGGGGCAGCGCCAAGAAGTGCCCTGCCTCCTCCACTTTCCTGCGGCTCAGGCCTGGAAACTTAGTCATAGATGGACTCCTTCGCCCGCGCCCTTAGCGGGAAGGGATCCTCCGCAGACCCCCACCCAGATCCGGCGAAACACGTGCCCCTGTCCCCCAGAGTCCAGCCCGCACCCCCTGGGGCCAGCCTCGCAGCCATCGCAGCCTCAGGCCGGGTCCTACCTCTCTTCTTGGCACTCATGGTAGATCCAGGACAGCTCCCCACCCCCTGCGTTTGCCCTCCCACCCCTACGTCCCCACAGGCCCAGGGCCACTAGGTGCTGGTCGAGCTGGGCTCCGCGCTTGCTCCCAGCGACTCTGGCTCGGGCTTCAGCTCCTCCCAGCGCCGCCCCCCGCCCAGTTCCTGCCGCCTGACTCAGCCCGCCGGGATGGGCGGGACCGGCTGGACCACGGGGCGGGGGCACCACTCAGACTGAGCGGCCTCTGGGAGGGGTATTGGGGGCTCCCTTCGGGGAGGAGACTGAAGTGGGTCTTCTCAGGTGGGGTTCGGAGTTTGGGTAAAGGGAATTGAGCCCGGCGGTGAATAAGGAGGGATAAACAGAATGAAGACCCTGAGTGGAGGCTGGATTGGATGCAGTTAGAATAAGGGGCTCGTAGAGTGGCTCTTGAGGGGTATTAGAGGGCTGAGCACACACAAGGCTGGGAGTTGGGGTTCTGAGTATGCAGACTGGAAAGTGGGGCTGAGGGAGTAGAAGGAAGGACTGTGGGTGCCGAGTGGATGGCCTGTGCCAATAGAGGGCAGAGTCAGGCACTGAGCATGAGGGGTCTGGGAAGCTGGGAAGAGAAAGAGGCTAAAAGTGTGGGACTGGACCAAGCTCATATTATGTGTTGCTGCCCAAGAAGGAAGCAGAGAAGGAACTGGGTTCAGAGTCCCATAGCCCATGGACTACCCCATCCACAGAGGAGGTGCTCATTCTAGGCACATCCTCCCCACCCTCAGGCCCTAGGGAAGAGGATCAGGTCCCAGTGCCCAGCCAGGGCTACCTCTCTGGTAGAAGCTGCATCCTACGGCGAGGCCCCCATCCTTCTGGCCACCGGCTCACACGGTTGAATCCCCTTGGTGTTGGCCCTTTCCACCCTGAGTATTTTTTCCTTGAGTTTCCCTCATCCACCTCCAGCCTGAATAGAGGCTATCATGCCCAAACTCCAGTGGGCATTGGAAGGGCTGGGTGCTCCCTTAACCCATAAATACTCCTGCTCCTTGTTGCTCAGTTCTGCTTATTTTCTCCCCAAGAGGCTGGAGTGGGCCCAGGGGTCAGCATTTCCAACAAGCCCACCACCCCCCTATAGAATCAGATGCAAGATACCCAAGGACCCCAGTTTGAAATGTGCTATCCTCCTCTCTCTCCTTGAAGACCAGGTGCTCTGCACCCTACACTAGCAACTATGTATTCCTGTGGATTGCACGCCCCACACTGACCTTTCTGCTCCCGTCCCAGTCTGCACGCCCCACACTGACCTCCCCC